TGTGTGTATATATATATCTATATATATATATATATATATATATAGCTACATTGGTGTTTAGTCAGTTTGGAACTAATGTCCATGTGTAACAAATTATTAACAATTCTGATATTTGCACATGTGTACATATATATGTCCACAAAACCCGGCCTGTTGATGAATCTAAAAAAATATATTGAGATGCCAAATAAATTGATTTCATTATGAAATGAAGACTTTTATTAAGAATATATTTTTATCAGGCATTTTAAAACAAATTGTTACTCTAGGTATAGGTGATTTACCCAGTGTTTTTTAAAAAGTAAATGAATCGCACTGTAGTTTTTCTTGAAGGAAAAATCATTTCTCCAGTTGTAGAGGGGTACTAAAAGCTTCGTACACATTAGCAGCAAAGTCTTTCACTTGCTCCATTGTCAACAGATCCTAGCAAAGATGACAATATAACATTATAGTTTGCAAAAGGTATAGATAATTGGGAATTAATTTCTGCAATCAAGAAATGAATTCAGCTCTAAGTTTTGTGGTAAAGGCCAAGAAGCAAACCATTTAAGAAATTGAGTAGTTTTTCTTGTAATAAATTCTAAAAGATAGCTATTATATAGGTTCTTACATGAGGGATGGTGACATCATAAGCGTTCAAGTGTGACTTTGGGGAAAAAAAAACAAATAGTCTTCAAATGAGTTTTTGTGTATGTTAAGTGCTAGATAAGTGTCTGTTGAATAAATGTAAGAGTAAAGGTACTTTTGCTGGAAGCTGACATAACATGGTTAAGGGCATATTATTTTCTGGAAGATCTAACGTGATATGTATATTTGTAGTATGTATACATGCATACATGAACCACACATATACACTATAGTGTAAGGGTTCTTAACACGCCAAGGGATTTGTGAATGTAAAGATAAGAAAAAAAATCACATCTTCATTTTCATTAACTTCTAACCAAAATTTCATCTTTCAATTATGAATGTAGGCAATAAATTATGATATTAGCAGATTGTATGACTGTCTTCAATAGAAATCATAGACATTTTCATATTATGTGACAGTTGCGGAAATTATCAGAATTCTCATTACATCTTGATTTAACGCATGAATAAAGAGGCAATATTGCTACATCATAAATTAAAAGAAACCTTGAAAACTATATATAATTGGTTTCCTTTATAATATTATCTATTTTATTGTATGCACTTAAACATATTGTTCTGAGAAAGGGTCCATGACAGCAAAGGTTGAGAGCCTCTGAGGGTGTCAGAGAAATATGAAGTAAACCTGGCCCTTATGATCTCTGTTTCTTAAGTATCGGAAAATCCAAGTGAGGCTTAGGCATGTCCTAATCTCAATCGATACATGGTTAAATGATCTCATCAGAGAATCTGATGTTATTTAGTTTCAAAGTATTCAGTCTAAATGTTCAATGAAACATAGGTTTAGATCAATGTTTCTCAAACCAGGATTTGCAGACATGCTTTCAGAGGCCCAAGAATTTGAGGGGAAATTTTGTGTTTTGATTTTTATGAATATGTAAAATAAAACTCAAACACATTCTGGATTATTTGAAAGATAAAACATATAACCTACTATTGTTCCCGATTTTAGGGCATTTGTTTATATTTATGTTCTTATTGGCTTTAAATAGTACTACTTTAAGTGTCTTGTGCCAATGAGAAAAGAACAGAGGCGGAAAATTTTTCAAATGAAGGCCAAATCATGTAAATCACATGATACAAATGAAGCTTTCGGAACAGTTACAGTAGATTAAAAAAAATACTAGCAAGTCAGCTTTAGAAAATGCAGGCTGAATGCTCAACAGCATGAACAGTAGCAGACAGGTCCACATTCACTTTGGCACAACAAATTATTAATAGTAGCCAACAGTCATAGTACAATCTGTTTTTCATAGTTTAGATTCTATTAACATAAGTACTTTGGTTTTAAGTTACAAAAAAAGCTCTAATCTTAAGGAGCTTATAGAGTTTTTAATTTATAAACTAAAAATGATTTTAACCCTGGAGGGCTGTGATATATGTGTGTATATATGTATGTGAGGTATATAGACAAATCCGAGAAACACTACCATTGTAGTGCAAAAGCAGCCATAAACAACACATAAACCAATGGGCATGTTGTCACCCAATACAACTTACAAAAGCTGGTGGTTGGCTGGATTTAGCTCATAGGTCATAGTTAATTTATATCAGCTTTATAATAAAGACTTCAGTCTGTTCAAATACTGTATCCTGATGCAGCTTCCAGGATGCTTTCAGTAGCCTGAGATAAAAATTACGTATCACAGGGTTGGTTCAGATTCATAAAAGCTTTTTCCTTATGTTATCTGAAAGCCACCCAAAATAATTTCTCTCCTGCTTATGTTATTTGAAAGCTATTTGAAAATAATTTGAAAAACTACCTCTCTCAATTGTTTTCTGATTTTCCCATTTACTAACTTTATCAACTATACTACCATATAGTATCTTCTACCAAAAGGGTCAGCAAAGTATGGCCTGCAGGCCAAATCCACTGCTGCCTGTTTTTGTATATACGTTTTATGGAAACAGCCACACTCTTTTGTTCATGTATGTTTCTGACTGCTTTCACACTGCCAGAGCAGAGTTGAGTAGTTTCCGCAGAGAATGTGTATGTTACATAAAGCCTAAAACATGTACTGTCTGGCCCTGTAGTTTGCCAACCCCTGTTCTACAGCATTCCCACAATAGGCTTTCCTACATACCACTGTTGAAGTAGTAGCAGTAATTCAAAAGGATTAATTTTATGTAAATTAACATTCTAATCAAGGCAAAGGCTTTACAAAAAGGTAAGTGGAAATAGTAGAGCATATGACAATTTATAAAGAGGACCACTTAGTATTTTAACTCATAGAAATTATGTTAAAAAATTAAACTATAATTGTAATAGCTTTGTCAATCAATGCTCTAGTATATACATTTAATATACATCCAGTTACACCAAAAAACTTTAGTAAACATTAGTATCAATGGTGTTTTGACTATACTGAAACATTTGTTTTTGTTATCAAGTATATAGATTTTAATGAAAATGTAGTGCATAAAATTATTTAAGCATGAAGACTGATGATGTTTTATGCTTGGTTGTAATTTCCACTCATCTGTCAAAATGAACATCCTACTGGCCAAGCCAGGGACTTCTACAGAAGAGGACAAAAGTAAAGGTAAGGTTCAAATGCCCAAAGTTATGACCTTTTTCTCACACTGATATACATGTGAAGCTTAAAATTCAGTAAAATGAGATCAGCCTTATTCACTATTTCTTCTGCAATGAGTGCCCAGCTCTTACGGGTAAGAAAGATGACAAAAGTCTGAAGAGTCCAGTGAGGGAAAATGTGCATGTGAAGGACAAGCTGATTACACCCCAGTGAAAGGAAGAAACAGAACTCAGTCTCAGTGCTTTTCATGTTCCCAAGAGTAAAATGTCTATAGAGAGGATACACTGCATTGTCTGAGACAAGTCACACTAAGAAGATGCCAGCTTTATGCTTAGGCCATAGGGTCTCTTCTCACTGTACACTATTGCAGCACTTTGCATTTGGTACTGCAAACAATTTTTTAACTTATAACACAGATTCCAAGTTTGCACATGACTCAGAAATTCAAAGTTATTTTGTTTATAATATCTGTCTTAGTGAATTACTGAATTACTCAACGAATTACTGAATTACTCAATGCATTCTAAATGGAAATGAAGAAAGAAGATGAAGTTATAAGTAGTCTGATAAAATGTTTAAATGACCCACTGTTTATGCAGCTGTTAGTGAGCATATTATTGATGCACTATTAACAGCTACATTTTATTAATCACTAAAATGTCTTACTTCTTCACAAATTTGTTTAGTTTTCCTTGCAATGTGTGGAACTGGATCCTTGATCTGCCTCAAGGCTCCATCTTCTCACTAGCATAGCTTAATGCAAAACATTTATGCTATATAAATTCAACTGACCACTATAATATACCTGGACTAAAATGCAGTCCAGTAAGTGCTGGACTACAACATGGAGAAAGGCACTCAAACTTACCCATTTGCTATGATTCATTATCACTCTCATGGGACACTCTACATGTGGTTTCAAGTTCTGCGTTTTTTGAAAAAAATATCTCAGCAAGAATGTAACTTTATGTTACACAAACATCACCACCACCAAGAATACAATTTGTTTTTAATAACACTCCCAAGCTTTCTTCTTACCTGAACAAAATGACTAGGTGTTTCACTGCAAACTGAATGGATCTGTCCGTTTACTATCGGAATTATCTTAGCTAAAGGCAGGCTGACACTGGAAAGACTGAAAAATCATCACAGTAATGATTATTTTCTGAAATGACCTCACAGAAATTGAACATCTTAATTATAAAAGTAAAACATAGCCACTGAAACATATTTTTGGAACTCTATTAAAAAGGAAATAAAACACAATTCTATCACTTAGAAGTAACAACTCTAATTGACATCATGACCAACATCTTCTGGTGTTTTTTACACATATCTGGTT